ACCCGGAACTGAACGCCCTATGTTTTTTCTTATGAAACACATACTCCTTTCATTTTTGGTCTTAATCTCAAGAACAACAGCCGCCATTTTTCTACCATGTATTGTGTCCAAAGCACATTTGTATTTGTTAAGGGAAGTATATAAGGCAGGAATTAATATTCCCATTTTACCCTTAAAGGACTAAGGTCCACATGATTTGTCTAAGGTCACAGAGGTATTGAGTGAGGGAGTTGGGATCTGTAAGAATCTTCTAGAGGAACTGCAGACCAACCATAGATATCCCCAGATGAGCACATCAGTGACTGAAAAGGAACAGTCTGGAGAGGCTTCCACATGGTGGAGAATGCAAATAACTCTCAGAGTTGGCTTTCCTGTGGCTTTCGGAGGTTTTCTTTGATTTTTGGTGGCAGAGCTTCTTTTTAAAAACATTTTTAAATTTTTATTTATTTATTTATTTTATCATACTTGCCTCATTTAAAAACTTAAGAGTGAGTCAGTGTCACCCAAGTTCACTCAAACAGGTGGCAGAATGATGGGGCTCAGAATTATGCTTGTGGTTAAGCCCACCTGGGATTAAGTCTGGAGCAGTTAATTCTGCTGAATGAAAAACAAATAAAAAACACATTTAAGAAAATCTGGGGAAAAAAAGTAGCAAGAAATAGAGCCCAACCTAACTTTTGAAGGCTATATCTATAATAGAAAATTTGTTCATTGTGTATTGTGTATTAGTTTTCCTCCCCTTTTTTGTGTATTGTATATTGTGTATTGGTTTTCCTCCTTTCGGGGCCTTCTTTACTATCCAGAAGTTTCTCTGAAGGTTGGTGGCTTTGCCCTTCCACTTGGATGGAAGGTAAATCCAGTTCGTGAGATCTTGGACAGATGTGACAAATGATTTGGGGAAAGTCTAGGGAAAGAGAGAGAGAGAGAAAGAGAGAAGACCATTAGCAAGGGACCCTAGGATTTTGAGAGCATTTCTGAGTGTAGGGGGGGAAAAGGGAGCAGTGGCCGGGAGGGTCCACACCCGGTGCCTCCATGCCACACCTGGGAACGGTGACTTGAGAAGTGACTGACGTGTTTATTTGGTGTGAGGTCAGCCACAGCTCTGAGGGCAATAACAAGATCCTCATAAAAATAGACCCCCCAGTCTGGGCCGCCAGTCAGCTTGTTCCAAACAAGGGTGGTGGCCTAATAAATAAGATGTTGCTTTTAACTCTCTGTAGGTGGTGGATTCATTCACTTTGTGGATTACACAGCTTCTTCCTTGCCCTCCCAAGTCAAGCCCATCGATTGCTTTTTAACCCCTTCCTGGCTGTGTGCTGCTTCTTTCAGGTGGAGAAAGAGGAAGGGGAAAAAAAGACTGGATTTCAGCAACTATGAACTAAGAAGGTTCTATGAAGAATGAATTGAAGCTATTGGTAGAAATTAGGGGGGAAAAAATCTAGCTGTAAGGACAGCACATAAGGACCTGAACTTTTGAGTGGACCACAGATGAATATGAATGAAGAGCACAGCTCTCTTTTGCAAAGCTGACGCAGGACGAGGATGTTTCATGCCGGAGCAGCTGTTCCCGCCAGTGGGCTTCTGCTTGTCATCCTTTCAAATGTCATGGTCAGACCTAGGAAATTCCCTGGGAAGTCCCCTGCATCCCAGGGTCTGCAGTTTGTCCATTTGAGTATGATTCTGTTGGATCTTGAGAGACTGTTTGATCTTCAGGAAGCTATTATTATGAAATAGATCTTCCTGCAGTGAGGAGACAGAGTGGTACACGGAGAGATGAACAGGGTGGATCGGGAAATGAGAATCTGCATCCTGACTTCAGTCCTGCCCCTACTGGCCTGGTGGCGTGAGGAAAGGCCTGTTTTTCTCTGGTCTCCACGGCTTTCTCTATACGACGAAACGCCACGGAGATGGCGAGAGTGAAAGCAGTAGCCACCGTGATTGTAAGTGCTCACGAAATGATTCCTTCCTGCCTGCCTACCTCGTTTTCCATCTGTAAAGTGAGGGATCGAACTAGAAGATCTCTGAGGCCCTTCCACTCTAACACTTTGTGGCTTTGTTGACAACACCTTAAAATGTTCCCGCTAACACTCTGGTGAACCTTGGTGTATCAGATTCTATACAATCATAGTGTTGGCTGACATAGTGTTGTCATTTTGACTTTAAGTATTAGAATTTTTATTTTCCCTTCTCCTGATTTTTAACTCAAATTTTCTATTTTATGGCTTTTGCTGGGTTAAGTTGTCACAAATCCTTCAGACAATAAGAAAAAGAAAGGTATAAAAAAACTGGTTGGAAATAATGTATTAACTGAAAGCCAGGAAATAAGATGAATACGAATACTAACCAATTGCTTTTACTGGACACTTACTGTGCATGAAGAGCCGTGCTAAGCACTTTGTAAACATTAGGTCACTTTATTCTCATCGTGACCCTGTAAAGCCATAATTATCACCTTCACTTTATAAATGAGGAAACAGTATTAGAGATATCAAGCAAGTTGTCCAGGGTCACACAATTAGTGAGTGGCTGAGCAGAACCACAAACCCAGGTCTGGCTAAATCAGAGCAGTGGTGTGCCGACAAGCAGACACACACACACACACACGCACACACAAAAGGCAAAAACAAACCCCTAAATCTTAATGTGCACCATTTATTGATTTCCATTCTGTGAATACTCCCACTGCAGCCAATTTCAAGTCATCAACAACTTAAAATCAGCACAAAAAATTCCTGAATAGTTAATAATATGCTCTTGCAAGCTTGTAGAAGCCAAGCCCAAACCTCTCCAAGGACAGCCTGTGTTGATAAGCACTGGGCAATACTGTCTCCCTGCATCAGAGGGTGGGGCTGATGGAAAAGAAGGAAGAAAGGGGAGATGGACAGAGAAAGTAAGAAGAAACAGATTCATTCATTCGTTTGTCTATTCATGCATTCCACAAAGCCTTACTGAACACCAGCTTAGTGCTAACCCTGTGATCTCTGCTTAGAACTCAGGCATGAGTCAAAGGAACAGGGTGCCCAAGCCTAAGAAGATCAGAGTGTGTTGGGAGGAGAGAGACAGGTAAACAAATATTTTCAAACATTATGCTATAGAAGCATGTATGAGTCTGTGGGAATCCAGGTGAGGGAGGGACCGATTCTGCCTGATGACCCTGAAAGATGGAGTTAGGCACATGTAATTGAAAGCTTCCAGGTAACATAATTTTTGCTTTCTTTCCAATTTATGGAGTGGCTTCTCTCACTCAGAAGGTGGGCTCAGCTCAGCTGCATTTCAGAATGAAATAGAGAAACCAAAGATGAGGTCAAGAAAGGGACAATGAGGCAGGAAGTATGCTCCTTCAGTTAGGAACGTTGTCTGAAGGACCCCTGTATTCTTCTTATTCTTCTTCTTTTTTAAATATTGTATTTATTTATTTGATGCAGAGAGAGAAAGAGAGCAAAAGAGTGCACAAGCAGGGGGAACAGGAGAGATAGAAGTAGGCTCCCCGCTGAGCAGGGAGCCTGATATGGAGCTCTGTCCCAGGACCCTGGGATCATGACCTGAGCCGAAGGCTTAACTGACTGAGCCACCCAGGTGCCCCCGAACCCCTGTATTCTGGACACCAAGCACCATGCTGGTATTAAGTAAACACTCAATAAATACTTGCTGACTAGATGAATCATTGGTGAATAATGAGTCGTGAGCTTCAGAGAAGGTTGTTTAAGGAAAAGAGACTAAGAATCAGTAAGAAGTCAGCGGTGAAAGTAGTGATCCCTAAGCATATACGGGATTGTGTAGAGGCATAGAGCGAGGGTCCACATAGAACGTGGGCAGAACTCTGTCTGCCTGTGCTTGCTCTCTCTCTCTCTCTTATAAATAAATAAAATCTTTAAAAAAAAAAAAAAAGAACGTGGGCAGAGACTCCAGATGCTCAGAGTGGAGGGGAAGTAGACGGAAGAGGGTGTGTCCCGGAGTGTGTGTTCTGCCACATGGTATGCCAGTTGGGGGGCAGAAGATGGGGCCAATCTCTGGTTCCCAGAAATTACATCATGCATTGCTTTGTTTCTAAGTTCAATTTGTTTCTAAGTTCAATTACTAAACAGTAATTGGTATAGTAAAGTTTGAGGATTTTGATGATTTCTTTCACGTTTATTTGTTCTTCTCTCCCTCTGATTATCCAAGAGGAGTCCGCTGTTATGGTAAACCAGGGGCAGTTTGAATATTCTTTCTTGGGACTCTGGAGTGTCTTTATAAGAAGTGTGTCAGCATGTGTATTTTGTAGATGATTTTCCTTATAACAGTGCCTTATATTTGTAGATGGTTCCCAGATTCTGAAGATCTTTCCCCTAATTACTCTGGCTGGGTCCTCCAAACAATCCCATGAGGACATTAGAGAAGACACCAAGGTCTCTATTTTACTAAAGGAGAAAGTGTAACTTGCAGAAGTCAAGGCACTCACCCAGAGTCCTACAGCTGAAGACAAGGACCCAGGATCATTCATTCTGGATGTGGAGAACTTTGCATTCTCCCAGCTTACCTTACACTGATGCTTACCTCCTGGCGCGGACAAGTCCTGGATGAGGTACGTCACCAGCTAGAAATGGTCCTTCTGACTTTGTGAGAACTTCTTTCCCCTTAGTGAAAAACTGAACCTGTTTGCCCCAGTTTCTCAGCCACCTTATGACTCGGCGAGCAATTGCTTTAACTCTGACAAAATGAGGCCACCTCCAACCTAAATGGAGCCCGTTTTCAGAGTAAGACCCTGAGTGGAGACAGCTCTTTCCTGGAAGGATAACAAAAGCATGCTTTTGTGTGTATTTCACTTGATGGAAAGGAATCCCCAGCGAGGCCATTTTTTCCCCCTGAATTCTCTCAAGTCCAGAATGTAGCCAAGTTTCCAAGATAATCTCAGAAGAGCCATTCATCTATGAAGATGGCCAAATTGTCTTCCAGCTCAGTAGACAGGGTATGTTTGTTTGAGAGGGGAGGTGTGGGGGTGAAGAGAGGGGTGTGGGGAGAGGATGAGGGAGACAGCAAGGGAGTGAGACGTATGAGGGAAAAATGTGTGCCGACAAACGCTGACGGGGAGAGGAGAGAAACCAAAGGGCCAGCCCTGACTCTGGGGTCCCACCTGCCAGGGACACTTCCAGCTGATCCTTTTTAGGACCTGTCACAGTCTGCCTGGCGAGCTGTCATTTCTCATCACTTGGCTCTCACTGAGGATCTTTGTGTTATCACTGTCATGAAGAGACCTGGCAACTGGCGCAGAATTTCCCGGGGCGCTACCTGATACGCCATTATTCGCCTCTTATCATCTTCGCAGAGTAGTTAGGCCGCTGTCAGAGGTAATGGAGACCATGCCACTAAGAAAATTGGCTTTAATTTATTTATCAATTGTTTCTGCATACCACAAAAGCGGCCTCCTACTTTACGGCTGGGTCTAAGGTATTTGAGAGCCCCTGAAGTTCATGGTTTTCCGGTATTCTAAGTTCTACTTATGGCCTTTCCTGTATATGACACACAACACCACCCTTGTGGCTTGCAGGCCGTTTTCTTCTTTGCTTTCTTTAGTCACAAATCATCCTGAGGCATCCCTTAAGTGCATTTGTATTGTTAAGTGCACCGGCTTGATTTGGTGTTAATTCAATTTGAGTGCCCTTAATATCTTGTGGGGGTGATGCAATGCAGGCCGCCTGTACCTTGTAAAGTCGGGTCCCAGGTCTGCCTGGGAGCAAAGCACCTTTCCCATAGCCATTTACCAAAGTTGCTGATAAAATTTTCATAAGGGAACCTTTTTAGTCTGACCCTATTGTGTTATTCTACCATTAAGTCTCAGAGAACGGAGCTGGCTTCTAGTGACAGCTTATCACGTTCTCCATTATTGCTGCCTGCCCCAAAGAGCTAACCGCCTGGGTGGAGTGCAGGGCCCTCCCTCCCTCCTGCTTCTGGTCCGTTCTGGGAAAAGCTTATGGGCCCTCACCTAGGGGCTAATGTGCAATCGGCTCTCTGTGGGTGCCAGGGAACAGAGCGCTCTTCCTGTCGAACTGGCTCCCCTTTGCCTTGGAAAGCTCCAGAGGCCCTGAAGCACTTTGCGAAGCCTGCCTGATAGGAAAGGGAGAAGTGAAACAGAGTAAGAATCACAGAGCCCTTTACTTACATCTCGGTCCTCAAAGCTGGGATGGTCATGCCGACACACTACCCTGGAGCTCCACTGAGATCCTATCTGGAAAATGGGAGTTAGAAATCTGGCAACATCATTAGCTCAGAAAGACGTCCAAAATCTGGGGTCAGGTGTACCTGGGTTTGCATCTGAGCTCTGTGGCTTCTGTCCTCTGTGACCTTGATCTGGTGAGTGGGCCTCGGAGCTTCAGTGCTCCCTTCTGTGAAATGGGAATGCCGGCTTGTACCTCATGGGCTCTGTGTGGGGATTGAGACCACACGTGTGAAGAGCACGAAACATGTGGCACAGAGTCAGGCTCTCTTACGGTTCCCTCAGAATCCAGAGGCCCTTGGAGGTTGTGGGTGAGAAAGCTGGATCATACAGTGAAGAAATTATTTGGATGGCACAAGAGGAGGAAGAGAAAGAAGTCAGGTCTGGCTCCATGGAGGTCCCTTTTTACCTTTCCCACTGTGTCCCCAGTACTGTCCCTAGGCATCGGGGGCTTGGGTGGATTTAGGGAGCATAGGACCACTTTCCCCCTCCTTGATGATGACATTTCTTTTCTTTTTTTAGATCTTATTTATTTATTTATTAGAGAGAGAGCATGAGAGAGATAGGGAGCATGAGCAGGGGGAAGGGCAGAGGGAGAAGTAGACCCCCTTTTGAGCAGGGAGCCCAATGCAGGACTTGATCGCCGGACTTAAGAATCACGACCTGAGCTGAAGGCAGTCGCTCAACCAACTGAGCCACCCAGGCGCCGCATGATGATGACATTTCTTCACAGCAGACTGTCTTCTCGTCATTCTGTCTTATTTTGCAGTCTGTGTCTGGGGAACGGCTGGAGCCTGCCTAACAATGTGAGGCCCGGTTTCTGCCACTCTGGGGGCGAGGTGGGGTAGTATGGCAGTCAGAGAAACAGAAATGCAAGACACGTTTTCAAAATACTTAAATGTTATTCTTATCAAAGCAATACATATTTCGTTGTAGAAATGAGGACATCTAGATAAAAAGAAGATACTGGAGTGAAAGGGAAAAAAAAATGGTCTGTGATCCTTCCACCTGGAACACCGAGATCCTGTGCTGTTGTTTTCTTCCGGCCTTTTCCTAAGCACGCATGCGCACACACGCACGTACAGGCACGCGCACGCGCGCACGTTCACGTTCTTGGCCACAGGAGTATGCTGTCCTGTTTCAAAGCAGGGTCTGGCTCCACCCCTTGGACAAGTTTTTTAGTTTTTCTCCTACTCTTTCCTCATCTGTAGCCTAGAGCTTCGTGGTCGTGCTTCCTCAGGGGGTGAGTAAGAGAAGCAGAGGGACCAAGGCACATGAAATACAGCTCCTGGTAGGCAGCACGCTCTGTAAAGGGGCTGTCCTTTATGATTATTATTAGGTACAGTTGAAATCTGGAATCATACAGTACGTTCTGCTCAAAGTGTCGTTTTAATGGGGGTGTTGCTTCTTTGCTCACACCCAGTGGCTAGACTACGATGCTTTCTTAAACTGCTCACCCTGACAGGATCTGGAGGTGGGGCTGAGCCCTGCCTGCCTCCTGACTCAGGATGCCAGGGCTGAATGGTGGTAATGATGTGTTCCTTTTCAGAAGGGCCTACCAATATTAGTATATGAATCCTTACAGCCTGACTCTTGGTGGGCTTTAGTAGACCCATTTTACAAGAGGGAGAATGAAGACAGGTATCGAAGTGGCTATATGAGGTCTCCAAACAAGTAAGGAGGACTTCTGGCTGCTAAGAAATGAGCAGGGCGGCCCACAGAAATGGCTGGGCTGCTCTTGGGCTTGGGATTTGCCTTTATCGCACTTTAGGCCTACATGGAGCAAGGAGTAAGGCTGAAATCACAAGGCAGATTTTCAGAAACAAGTATTTCATGTCAAAGCTCTGCGAGTCTCATTAATGTGTGTGTGTGTGTGTGTGTGTGTTACCATTTTGGTTTTCTTGAGACTCCCTTTGTGGGATTCAAACATTTGGAGAGTGAAAAAGGATAATTTTAAGCCAGGCTGGGCAAGGCAGGGTCATAAATCTGGAAGGAAGATCAGGGTCCAGCTGTGTGTGTGTGTGTGTGTGTGTGTATGTCCATGGGCATATGTGCTCACGTATGTATGTGTATGTGCATGTGTCGAGAGCACATGCCTGGAGAAGGCACCCATGTGTGAGCTTCTTGGCATGAGCGGGACAGACAGGGAGAGGTCTCGGAAGGGAGCTGGTTTGGATGAAGTATTGGCGAACGCTCGGGACACTGAAGGAGAAGAGGCTCTGGTCAGGGAACTGTGCCGCATCAGAATTTATAACAGATTAGCTTATCTACCCCTTGATCTTCAAGGGTATATGGGGAGCTGCGGATGAGGCATTTCTGCCTTGATTTTCCCAGGATTTCCCTCGGCACAGCCCAAGGCGGTGAGAGCTTGCTTCTCACACCCCCTCTCAGGTCATTTGGAGGAGGCTGACAGTGCCCAGGAATGCTGACATGCTTCAAAACATCACACGAGAAAGAGCCCACTCGGATTCCTAAGGGGAGTTGCTGTCGGTCTATTCCGAGCTCCGGCAGCATCGGTTCTGATTGCCATGGCCCCCCTCCCGCCGCAGACGCCGCAAATCCATATTCATCCTGACTGTCTGCAGGACTCCCCTCTCCCTGTCCATCTGTCTGTCTGACTCTCTGTTTCTCGCTCTCTGTGGCAAAGGGAGCTTGCTAACATGAAAAAGGGAGCGGGCCAGGATGTTCCAGATGAGCTGCTGCTGGTGATGTTGCTTTAAACGCCGATGAGCTGAAGCGGCTGGCAAAGAAAGAGCGGGGTGAAGTGTGGTTTGACGTCTCGGGGCGCTGGGGAGATGATTCATACAACATGAGCCCTACGGGGTCCTTGCTTAAATCCCAGCCTAGCACCCCCGGCTGAACTGGGACTCTGAAGTCCAGCCAAGGAGCGTCCCCGGTCCTGTCTTGGCAAACAATTGGTGGGTCAGAGGCAAAGGACAGGGGAGGCGTGAGGCTTTCACTGGAAAAATAACCTGCTGGGAAAGAAGGAATTGTATGATGTGTGTGGTGGGGAAGGCCAGCCAGGAAGGACCTGGCTCTCACTTTACAAGGCAGCTCTCTGAAGCCAGAGGGACTTTTTAATTGCCCCAGAGGCCTGTGGGCCTCAGCGTGAGTGGCTATGGCATAGTTCTGGAACGGTGTAGTGATGGGGGGCTCTGGGCACTCTGGGGCTCTGGGAGCTGTGCTGGGAACCGTGAGGGAGGAAAGCTGCGGATGGGGCTTTGCTGTCCTCAGACTCACCACTAAGGCAGGAGAGGGATGTAGAGGGAAAGAGCTGCCCATTTCCTGTTTGTCTGGGTGCAGGGGGTCTCTGTTGTCCCCACTTTGACCTTGGTATGAAAGTGCATGTTTTGGCCACCCTTACTCCACCGCCAGCTTCTTAAATTTTCCTTGTTCCCACTGGACCCTCTCTCTGCTTCTCTGAGAACATTTGTTCTCTCCTCTTTTGGAATCTGCAGAGCCATCTTTCATTTGGGGACACACCCTTCCCCAGGGCTTAGATCCTGTAGGTTTGGATTCAGACACTTGGGGGCACGTACCCTAGTTCTGGCCAGGGTGTTGGGTTTAAGGATGGGCCCATGCGCCACGATGGTCTAATCAGAGCCAAACCTGAAACTTCTATTGGAAACGTTTGCTGGAACTTGGGGGATGGAGACAGACATTCTCTTTCACCTGGGGTTGTTGAAATGAGAAGATAAAAGCCTGGCGCTTCTGGGGGCCACCATGAAGAGAAAGTCTGCCTGCCAGTGAAGACACAAGAAAGGGAAGAAGAGTGACAAGGTGGACAGAGATAGGTTTCTGGTGGCATCATTGGAGCACTGGACTCTAGTCATACTCGAAGTCAGTGTCTACTCCTGGACTCTTCATGTATACCAACCAAGAAATTTCCCCTTTCTTTCATTATCCATTTTTTTCATGCTACATGATTGGAAGTGTGGTATTTAAAGGTCAGTGTGCCTTCTCATCTTTCCCGCACTACTCACCTATTATATCTTGTAAAGTTGAGCCCCCAACTTTCTGTGTTTCCTTCTCTCCCCTTACTCAGGCTTCCCTCCACCCTGTGGTGTCCACTATGACTTGAGTGCACCTTCATGTTTCCACCCCAGTCTTGTTCCCTGAGCCCAGCCATCGACA